TCTCTCTCTCTCTCTCTCTCTCTCTCTCTCTCTCTCTCTCTCTCTCTCTCTCTCTCTCTCTCTCTCTCTCTCTCTCTCTCTCTCTCTCTCTCTCTCTCTCTCTCTCTCTCTCTCTCTCTCTCGCGTGCTACGTCATCGCTGTGTAGAAACACGCGAATGGCTGGTATTATTTTTTACCTCGTGTCACATTTTTGCGCACTGCAGCTGCATTAAATGATTCATGAATCTTACGATGCAATGTTAAACATTTTTTTTTTTTTTATTTAAAAAGTTAATTCTTATACATATCCGATGACATATTAACGTACATCAACATCGTTATATTGCTGGAGAGAAAAAAAACGCAATCGGCTGATATTATATTCCTATCAACGATTTATGATTTTCTCGGTGTAACGTTAAATATCACGATGTTTACTCTACAACTGTTTTTCCTTATTATTGACTGAATTATTAAACGTACATGATATTATTATAACCAACTTTTTCACATTACATATATTATTTTATCACGTAGGGGACGATCAATATTATTTTTCATTCGTAATCGCGTCGCATTTCCGCTGAATGCTAACTGTGGACTAAATGATTTATAAATATCTCTCTCGATACGACGTTAAATACTGGTATTTTTAATAATTTTAACATTTATAATTATAATTATAAATTATTATTCGTTATTGTTCGTTATTGATGGAAATGCAAAATGGTTCCTGAAATATTATTTAGGCATTATTCAAAAGAGATGTTCAAATAACCAACAGATGTCCAGAAATATTTATTAATATTCGCGTTATGATTCTTTAATTCTCACAACTGTCGCTATATTTTTTTTCTTTATTTTTCGAGAAGAGAGATTATTCAAACGCAAGAGGGACGACGAAATACATCGGTCTTCCGCTTTAGTAATTTAAAAATCCAGTCAACTTTGGCCTCTGTAGGCACTCGTCGTCCGCTAGGGTTAAGCAGTGATTTATTAATCCTCCGATGCCCTCCCCCCGAGCTCTTCCCCTCCTCGCTGCTTCCTCTTTCTCCTCCGCTCGACATCAATCGTTACTGTTGCCGTGTCGGCGCCGCGTACACGGGATAATGAGGCCGCTACCCAATTTCGCGATGTGTGAGCTCCGCATTGTTTCTCCGCACCGTTTTCACAGAGGCGGCGCAATTACCGCCCGGGCCTTAAATGGCCCCGGTCCTGCCACCGTCGCTTTTCCTCCCGGTCCACCCTCCGGGGGTGGCGTGGCACACGCGAAGACGGATTTCCTCTCGTAAAGTACGGCGCGGCGTCTCAAACGTAATTACTTTGGACTCGTGTCTACTTTGTTCATCGACGACGAAATCTTATTCTGCGCTAACGAGCAAAGCGAAACTTCCAAGCGGTGTCCCCGGGTGTGCTCTCCCTTTCCCTCGGACTCCTCCGGCCCTTTTTTTCCTTTTTTTTTCCTTTTTTTTACGTTGTAACGACGTTCGGACAAAGGACGTTAACAAAAGTAGACGAAAAAGGGGGCGACAGTGGAAGACGTCGGACGAGAAACGGACGAGGAGCAGGAGGAGGCGGAGGTGGAGGTGGAGGTGGAGGGCAAGACAAAGATAAAATAAAACGAGGGGAGTTCGGCGTTGACGTCTTCGTCCTCGTCGTCGTCCTCGTCCGTCGTCCTTGTCCGTCGTCATGGTTGTAGGGCGGCGTTTCCTGCCGGGAGAACGCAAAGTGGGTCATCTCGAGAAAAAGTCCGTAAAAGCGTGAAACGCAAAAGTAAAACGACGACGCGACGCGACGCGGCACGGCGACGCGCGACGGCGGGGGTTTGCGCGCGAGGGTGTCGTTGATGCTGATATACTTCCGCCGGTGATTTGCATAAAGTTCCGTCCGCGGTCCCCGGACGTGAGACCAGGTCGACGTCGACGTTGAGGAAGGACGACTGCAAGCTTTCGCTTTTCGCTCGTCCGATTATTCGAACTAGCGATCCATTTGTACAACGCTGCCGGCGTGTTGGCGTTTGTCATTGCCGAAATTTGCGATGTTTAGAGAGCATCTGCGACACTGTG